AGAAGACTGAAATAAGAGGTTAAAATCAGGTCAGACCCAGAAGGATTAAGCTCTGATAAAGCATTCCTGTTTATTTTTGTTAAATTTTTATTGAATTTAAATGTTTTGTATAACAAAATGCTTTCTTTATTCAGGTTTGACTGTAGTAATAATAATTAAAAAACTGACGCTTCAAATCAACATTTAAAACAACAAAAAATATAAACCTTGACAAAAAGTCGTCTTTGAGAATGCCTTAATATACATTTAAATCCACAACCTAATAAAAATAAACAATTATGTATAAAAACAACTAGAGAATTCAAGTCTCTCTATAGATTTCTATACAGGCATCTAGTGGTTACACCATCTCTCTCACCAGGAGGTGTTAATCTGCCTTCAAAAAATGCATTTTAAAGGCCTAGTCTTTATTTTAATGAGACATTAATACTGCATTGATTGAAAAATACTTTTTTTTTTTAAATTAGAGAATTGTTTGTACTATTTTCAATGGGAAAAATTGATAATTATTGCATAAATATTACCATAAAATTATCTCAAAATACAAAATATTATTGAACAAAAATATATTATTGATTTTATTGAAGAAAAAAAAAAGTTAAATTTCAGGTGTCTGGTCACTTTTGATCGCGAAGACCATGAGTGTGACTCCCAAATGAGGAGCGCACAATTAAACAGACACGTTGTAATAATCAGAACCAAATAAATGAACAGAGAAGGTTCCATTAGCACTGAAACTTTATTTAGGATTATGCATGAAACTGACAACTTTAAATCAGTCAAAAAGCGCACAATAATCACTTTACACACAAGACACTATTTCTTCCTCAATTTTTATTGAATATTCCGAATAAAGCAAAATTGCCATTTGAACCTCTGCAAAAAGAGAGAGAGAAAAAAAAAACACCCATATTTTTTTTTCATTTTTAACTAAACACATTACTCTGAACCAAATACAGTAGTAAACTGAAATAACTATTTACATATTGAGGTCAGGGAAATTCTCATAGTAAATTATGTTCCATCAACTATTAATAATTTACAATCAGCCCCAAACCTGGATTTAGGGAATTATCAATGACTGAAAAGGGTTTTCCCTTGTTTTTTGGAGGCAAAACAAAGTCATTCATAAATTAGTATTCAACCATTCTCCAAAAGTCAGAACAAATGTCTCATTGAGAACCAAAAAAACCCCAAACCCAAATTCAAACTTCTTTTTTATCAATACTACACAAAGAATACCAAAAATATCTTTATTTATAAATTAAATTATACATATACATTTACCCCAAACGTACATCTTTCACAGTACATTTCATTGGGCATTCACATGGCAAAAAATACCTGAAATGTGCAGGCAAATACAAATACAAAAATGTATTTCAAGTGACTAGCTGAGGTCCCTGCCCCAGAGCTCTGCAATATAAAAATATCCTTATTTACAAAAACACAAAAGACCAGCTAAAGTAACCACAAAAAGAAGTGGCTAAGGAGCAGCATAGTTAGAAAATAATTGCACTGGTTTGTGATTCTCCTTCTAACTTAACCTGAACCTCCTCTTTTACCGTTGGTGCATCCATATCGTCCTCGGAGGGCTCTTCTTTAATACTGGAGCATGACGCCTCATCACCCTGCTCTTGTTTCATGAAAGCTATTAAAGGGTTTTCTGTAAGCATTTTATTGGGTGAGGGTGTGCAATCCACAAAGGAGGATGTCTACGAAAAAAGGGGAAGTGTTTTAATTGACTAATACAAAATTAAGATGGAAAGATTTTCCTTTACATAAAAATCTAAATCCTAAATACAGCATATTTTAGCCACTTGACTTCGATATATAGGTGTGATGCATGTTAACGATGCCATTCTCCAAATCAACACTTACATTTTTGTAGTCTTCGTAGCATGAGGGATGATATGTCTAAAAGAGAAGGGAAAACAATTTAAGTATTTTATCAAACATCAATATTTCTCAAATTTGTTTATTTATTTTTATTAGTAGATTTCTTACCTTTCCATCGACTCTGATGGCATTCTTCAGGTGCCACTCTTCCTCTTCCTCCTCCCAGTACATCTCAAACTGCTCCTGGCAAATCTCACACAGCTGAGAAGAGTGAGTGAGAGAAAGAAATCTTTAATTTAGCATATAATTTTTCTAATACTATGTATTATCACACAGTCTGTGTACATCGTCTAACCTCATGAACGACGTCTGCAGCAGCCTTTACGCTCTGGAACTCTCTCTCTTTGGCTGCTTCCTGAGTTTTCTGTACAACCTCTTCATGAACTTTTTCAAAGAACTGACTCTTTGCCCTCTCCTCAAGATCAGCGATTTCCTCAAATTCAATCCAATCCTAAAAAACAGCACTTGATCATGTTACGATTTTAAAAGTCCTTTGTTCTATTTTCAGGAGATCATTTCAGTTCTTAATGACAAATTTCTGAAAATATACAATTAAATAAGGAAAAGAAATTAAACAGGATTGCCTCCAGCTTACCGTCAGACTATAGTACCACCGGCGGTGTGTAACTTTCTTACTGATATCCTTCTCTGAACGATTCTGTCTGTAGTGCCAGTCCAAATGATCTGCATACACATCCGTTTGAGATGCAGTAAAACGCATGCCGCAGGAATAGCACTGGATTCCAGTATATAGTTTGGTGATAATGCTGTCGTGTCTCCTAAATTACACAAATTTCCCAAAACATCTGGTGTCATTGAGTCATTTTTTACTGTCACACAATAATAAAGATATTTCTGTCAGATTCACTTGTGTCTAGACTCCAGAGAGTATGTAGATGTACATACTGTTTCATGTCCTCCAAAACAAAGCCAGTCAAGTCTGGGACATCTTCATCTTCCTCTTGTTCCTCCTCCTCTTCCTCTTCAGGCACAGATAAAGTCTGACCTGCTGAAGCGGAGTCTAAAACAGACAAAAAAAATCTTTACACAGGTTCATTTGAAATATAAGACTGCAGTTAATGCAATTTAATTGTCCAACGGTAAGAAATGAAATATGATAGAGTATGCATACCAGTCGTTGAGTCTGTTTGTGCAGGTTTTATTATTCCAGTGGATATAAGTTTTGATAACAGATCGTTCACATCTATTTGCCTCAATGGCTCGGGCTCAGGCTGCTGAAACTGGGAACCTGAATCAATAATCAATAATTCACTTATTATAATACAGGTCTAAAGTAGATGCCACAATCAAAACAAATGTAGGCTGGTAAGTTAACAGTAGCGTATAATTCTGTTTCAGGCTATGCAAACAAATAAAATAAAGACATTCTTACCAGGCTGGAAAGATATTTGGTTTGGTGGCATGAAGGGTTGAGGTCCCATCATCTAAAAATTCACAAGACAAAAACTAAACTTTATTTTTCCAAGTTTAACAAAAAGACAACTCTTTAACTTTAACAAAAGTAAAGGACTCCTTGAGTAAGGAATACTTACAGGCTGAGGAACATTTCCAACACCCGGACCAGGGAATGGAGCAGGTCTAAATGAACCCTGGAAATCCGATGACGTAGGGACTGCCACACTGAAGTTAGATGCTTGAGAAACATTTTGCTGCATGGGAAACTGTTGGGCCGGGCCACCATACGTGTTCATGGGTGGAATGTTGAAAGTAGGTGGTGGTACAGCAGGGTTTACCACAGGAGCTTGACCTTGAGTTTGATCGTACATTGTTGGCTCCTGTGGTCTGAGCTGGTTTGGAATATTTGGACCGCAGTATCTTGGAGGACCTTGTGGGTCATATCTTGGCATGACAGGCGGTGCATCAAATCTTAAGGGTTCAGGCTGCACCGGGTTCTCAAAACGCATCCCACCTGATGGACTATCAAATCTAACTGTACCCTGCTGTTCATCATAATTCATTAGTCTAGCCGGGAACCGTGGTTCCTCGTATCCTGGTGGACCATGTTGCATGTGAGGATTATCGAACCTTGGTGGATTAACAAATCTGTTTTGGTGCATTGGGTGGTCATAACGAACTGGGGTCTGAGAGTCAAATCTCACCACGCTATGAGGCTCTGTGTACCTCATTGGCCTGTGTGATACTGCTGGGTTGTTAAATCTCACAGGTCTTTCATGGGCTATGGGAAATCTTTCAAACCGGTGAGGGGCATCAAAGCGATGTCCAGGATACCTTACAGGTCCACCAGACCCATCAAATCCCCCTGTATTGCCTTCATACCGAGGAGGAGGAGCATAAGGTCTTGGAGGACCATCTAACCTTGGCTCTCTCATGTGGCTAGATGGCCCATCAAAGGGAGCTTGAGAACTCTTAAATCTATCAAACCTTTGAGGAATACTTGGTCCATCATGCCGTGGCGTGTTCACCTGTGCCATAGATCCTTCTGAGGAGTGAGTCGGTGTATTCCCAGGAGATTCACCATGGTTTCGTCCACTTCTTCCCTGTTCCAAGAAATGATCATGCCCTGGAAGAACCTCTACACTTATAGGACCATCATCTGGACCTGTGCCAGAGTGCACGCTGTTGGGACTTTCAAAACATGGGCTGATGTCTCCTGATTGTTGATCCATTTCAACTGGAGATGATGAGCGTTCAAATGGCGGTCCTGTGGATTTTCCACAAGTTCCGTCCAAGTTGACTGGGCTTGGTGAATTTCTGAATGTGGAACCTGTACATGATGGAGGCCTGTCGGTTCTTCTAGGATCTTCATGGTCAGGCTTTATGGCATCATCAGACATTTTATGCACTTCTGAGCTTTCACTGTATTGTTCAGTCATTTCATGTTGAAGCTGATAGAACATTTCATGCAAAGGCGACTGGCCATCTTTTTGCACTGTAGAGATAAATGAATATAGGAAAATTATTCAAGTTTAGACTCTTTATTAAACACCAACAACAACCTAGGGCGTGTTTAAATATTACCTGCCATGGTGAAATAAATAAAACTTTAGATACAATTTTAAAAGTGCTACATTTCACATACATATTTACAAACAGGACAAATCTTACCTGGACGCTGAAGCTGTGTTCTTTTCAACTTAGATTTATGCTCAAGATAAGAAAGCTCCGCATCAGACATTCCTTGTTGTTTCTTTTTTGATTGATATACTCCCTCATCACACGAGTCATCCCAAGAGTCAGACCGCTGTCTTTCCTCTTGATACTGAAAAAGTTGGTTTATTTGATGGGCTACATTGAGGAATTCGTCACTGGATATTTCACCATCAGCATGTCTTTTGCTAGCCTGAAATGAAAAATGTCCAGTTTAGCAATATTTAAATTAATGATGTATTAGATAAAGAAAAACTGAATACAAAACTACAAAAATATGAAATTGCCATACCTTCCTTAAAAGATCCCGTTTACTTGCAGAATTAAGTGCTTCTGGTATTTGTATGTTACTGTCAACACTCAAGCGATGCTGTTTAGGTGTACGAGGTGTGGACAGTCTTTGATTAGTGCTCCAAGTCTTGCGTCTCTGGGTGCCTAGTCGTCCATGTGAGAGATCTGACTCTGACTGTTTGGGACTGTTAAGGCAGTTTATTAATTTGAATGTGGTTATAAGTTCAATAATAGAAAGACAAATGATGTTTAAGAATTGACATTTTAAAGTCACTTACTGTTTATTTTCTTCCCATCCACTCCTCCATCTCTTGCTATCTTTTGTGTCTTTATGCTCTGCAGGAAAAATTCTCTGCTGCGGTCCATCTTTCTGAACAGCAGGTTTATCGTCAAGCGGCCTTTTTGGTCGTCTTGGTTCTGGGGCGCTTTTCTTGGTACTTCGTTCATCTCTTAGACTTGACTGTGGAAAAGCATCATCATTATGTTGATGTTTACTTATCCTAGCCTTTCCAGACTTGGGGGGTGGAGTAATACTCCTGTTTTTTCTCTTTGGAGATGAACGCCTCTCTTTTCTTTTGGGAGAATGTAACGGTGGTGAACGTGATCTTGACCGAGACCTTTTTCTAACATTTGCTTTGTTCACTTTAATTTCTTGTTTCAGAAATGTCTCAAGTCTTTCATGCTTGTTTAGAGAGCCATTTATAAGCTTGCCCCTGGTGCTGCTGGACTTCTGATGATCCAAGTTTTTGACACCTTCATCCTTCTTCTCTAAACTTCTTTTCTTCTCTCGGACATCATCATCTTTTGAATCTGTCCTGTCATGCATCTGCTTATGTAGCCTTGGGTCCTTCTTATTCAGTTCAGCAGTCTTTGAATGTTCAGACTCCATTCCTCTGGGTCTGACAAGGATACATTTTCCAGATGGTGACACTGACTTGGATTTAGGCTTTTCCTCAATGGCAGAGTTATCCTTTTTTGGAATCCTCAACTTCTCCAACTTAATCTGTCTTTCAGCTGAGACTGGTCCTCTTTTTTCTGATGTTTTTGGAAAGTTTGGTGTGACCTGACTCTCCTTCTTATGCATTACTTGTTCTTTTGCATTTACAGCTGTTGCACCAGGTCTGTTTAATCTAGGATCTCTGGTTGACATTTTTTCTGATGGTGCTGGAAGCCAAGGTTTGGTTTGTGGTGCAGGAACCGTACGAGTGACTTTTGCTGAGATATCAAAACGTGCAGGAGCACCGACATGGTGGTTTGAAGCAATAGCAGGACTGGCAGCCTTGAGAATGGGAAAAAAGGAGCAATTCTCTTTTAAAAGAGGTCGAGCAGTATGAATAATGATGGTCCAGCTGCATTAGACCAACTTACAGCTCCTATCCACTGCTATTATATATCAATTGCGCTTGACACATCACAAAAAAAAACAAGTTTTATACTTCTAAAACTGCAAATACGATGATGCAGCCCTTTCTAGTTCATCTTGTTATAAAGCACATGACTATTAAACTCACCAACTGAGCTTTCGTTTGTTCAAGTTCAAGCTCTATCTTCTTTTGCTGAAGTTCTAACAACTGCTTTTGCTTTGCAAGCAACTGTTGCCTTATCAATTGTTCTTGTGTCAAGCTCGGAGCTGGAGGTTGTGGTGCAGGAGGCTTCGGAGATGTTTCTTCAGTCTACGCAAAGAGAAAAGCACACATTTCAGATAAACCATAGCAGTACACTTCTTCCCACCTCTTAAAAATTAGAACTCCTAAAATGCTTACCGGTTTCAAAAATTTTGGGTTGACATGTATGCTCGCATTCACATTTGGTGGCAATGGTTTTATAGGCCAGGCAGGATCTATTGAGTTCACACGCACATCTAGTGCATATAGTTTCTTCAAGGGGAAAATTTCATCCCATGTGGAACGCAATTTGAAGAGACTTTTTCTAGTGGCCTCATCCACCTTAAGTGAAGCAAAAGAAAGGAGGGGAAGAATATCTGACTCCTCTGTTTATTCTCAAAGAACACGGACAAAACTATATAGGTTACCATTTGAAAATTTTATATTATTATTAAGGTATGAAATAATCTATCAAGGCAAAGGAATTAATTAGCACAATACAGTATTTTAAATGAGGACAGAGCACATGACGTTCAATCAGAAGTAACACCATGGACACAATTTCAAAGAATTATGTACCTTCTCAAATACACAAATAAAGGAATTGACTAGGTTCTTAGCAAACACTTCAAGGTATTCCCCTCCAACATTCTTCACTATGGAATCCACTAAGTACAAAACTGGGAGCTTCTCACCAGCAGGTGCCTAAAGTGATAGAAAACTGACAAGTTTAGAGAACAACATGGGAGAAATGCACAACTACATAGAATTAGAGTTTGATCGTTGAGATTATTAAACGGTTGAAGTTGGATCAAAAATACTGGCACAGAAAACAAAAATCAAGCACTTATGGGGAAGTCCATTGTTTGCAGTTAAAAAAAAAAAAAGAAAACGAAAAAAGTTCCTCAAAAAACAGATCCATCAAAAATCAGGGAAAAGTTCCTCAGATGCAGGAATGAAAAATATCCATGTCCCAGGTAAAAAAAAAAAATTGGAAAAAATATTGAAAAACTTCAATGTTCACTCTTCAAGCTCAGTCCATCAAGCAGAAAATAGTTTATGTTGTCAGTGCAATTCAGTTTAAGTAACTGGTATCATTTTTTTTTTTTTAGCAAGAAGCCCAAGTCCTTTAAATTGAAAAAATAAATGAAGGATTAAAGCTTTTTTCACTTGTATTTTTTGTACTTGACCAGGAATTCAACTCAGGTATCCATTTAAATTCAAGTTTAGATTTGATCTTCATTTTGGGTAAAAAAAAAATGAAACACTTGGTCTTTACATTTTACATGAGTCCATAAAATGATTGACAGGTTGTAACCAACATGCCCCAGTGCAAAGAGAAGCACAGTTTTGCAAAATTCTGCAACTATTTTGTAAAGTATTTTTTACACATTCAGCTTTGGAATGTCATTGGAAAGGACACTGCACCAATGCAAATGTCTTTGTATTAAAGAGCATTTAGATTAGAATGACATCAATATAGCCAACATTACCACAAAAAAAATACACTGGGAAATAAAGACAAAAAGGACATTTCACAGTTTATTGTCACAGTTGTATACCATTTATTAACATTGCAGTAAAGAATGGGAAATTACCCAGCAATCTAACACCCCAAACCCTTTATTGGTTCAAGTACACAGGAATTTGAATGGCGCACATTTGTATTAAGAACTTTAAATGCAGGCGTGCTCGTTTTCACGGAGCAGACCAACACGACTAGCCGAACTAATGCAAGATTTCAAATAGGTTGCAAACAAACAAGGATATGAAAAATTTCCTCGGATTTCCCAAATAATATGCATCTATGTACATAGGCGGCAAACCAAGTGTACCAGCTGGTGATGACATAACTACAACCATGAGTATGCAAATACTTATTCCTGATTAATTGTTGGTATCAACACGGGTTGTCTTGCACCTTATATTTCTAATCAATCCATGTTTACAAAATTGCTATATATGGAAAGTACAATCAATTACACAACGACGATGACTCGCTGGGCTGATTACATAACACGGAAATTCCGTTTCTTTCCTATCTAGGGTTCTTGTAGATAAATTATGATTCATAAAACCAGATTTATGGATTGTCATGGAACAACATAACGTATAAACTACTGTAACATTGGTTTAAGTTAATAAATCGAATTGGAATTGACATAGTAGTGAGAGAGCATGTGAAGCCACCAGGCTGTTATCAGTATCCGATAAGCTTAAAAAGATAAAACATGGATTATTAACTTCAAGCCAAATGTGCGTCAACATTAAGTCCGACTAAATGAGCAGATGTGACCCAACAAGCAGCTAAACATGCTGCTGCAACTGGCCTAATTTGGTAATGTGGAGTGGTGACTTTTCTAAGCTACAAAAACAGTAAATTCTGACTGATATTTTAAAAAATGCCGTTATATAATAAACTCAATATTGGTTAACGATAATATAGCATCAAAAAGTGTTTTACGTCGATTTATACAAAGTGGTTAGCGAACTAGTCGTGCAGCCGCCATGTTACAGGCCTCATGTCATGTCGTAATTTAACTAACGTTAACCACACTCGAGCTAAAAGACGATGACTGAAACGAAACAAAAATAAATCTATTTTCATAAAAACCTTGGCAATTTGTGCTTCAATTATTGCGACGATATCCTTGGTGAACTGGATGTTTTCTTCGGCTAGAATGGTGAGCATGTTGATGTGCGGTTTGCTGTTGAAAGTCAGATCTTCAAGCGAGGACTGATACTCGCGGCAGGCGTCCTCCCTCGCGCCTTCGTCCGACATCTTTTAGCCGTTGAGTCGAGGGCTGTCGCCACACAATGTAAGCTTTTATACAAACATTAGTTGCAACACAGTCCTCCTAAACATCTGTACTTCCTCTTGGTTTCCTCTGTACGTCGAATGTCGTGCCGTACCTCGTCGCGTCTTGCTTCTGAATGAATAACGATATTTTCTGTTTGGAAAAAGCGTTGCAAAATGTCCGTCGTACTTCAGCAGACTCGCGCGTCATCTGAAATGCTTTATAGTTGAACGCGCGTCACTGCTTCCCGATTGGCTACGCTGAAAAGCTCGAGCTTGATTGGCTGATGAAAGGCTTGCGCTCAATGTCATTGGTCAAAACAGAACTATTATATTCAAGAGCATATCAGAAGAATTAAATAATTTAATAAATCAACAATCACAACAAGAGTTAATAAATCACAACAGAGAGTACAATGTCGTCATCACTTTGAAAATGAAATACACACTTTAGGATAATTTGCATAGAAGAGAGGTTCAGCGGGTTCAAAACATATAGAGTATTATTTTTTCAATAAGCTATAAGCAGATATATGGAAAGATTTACCTATCTTGCATTTTAATCGTCTATTTTGAATACATCAACGTTGCTGAAGTATTGGTGAACGTGACGCAGAGCAAAATGAACAACTTTAGTGTGGACAAAAGTGTTTTTTTCCTCAACCATTTTATTATACATGTGTAAGCCAGCATTTTGATTATTAAACATGCAGATTCGGTTTAATTATGATTACATAATGTAAATGCATAATAACATACAATTTTGGATATGCATTCTTAATAATAATAAAACTGGTAATTTTTCCATAAACATTTATATAATTCAAACACACATTTACAAAATTGTTTATTTACAATTACAATTAATGAACAGAATAAATATTGTAATTAATCTCACTCAATTTTAATTCAAAATGAATTTTCAAAAAGATCTTTGGACCACTCATTTACAGATAAATTAAACTTGCCTGGTCTCCTGTCCACATGAGTTGCTATAATAAGAAACTGGGGTGGATTGCAAACATGGTGAAAAAAGCAGAGAACCTGAACCTCCAGGCTCTGATGTGTTGACATTCCTCAGTTCATTGACTTTAGAAATCTCTGTCACATCCGAATGGTTCATGTCCATACTGCTCTGACCAGAAGCAAACAAGTCTGCAGAGCAATTGTACTTCTCCTCATGGTCATCAAACACAATACTTTCCTGCTTGACTTTGCAACTTACAGAATGAACCTCACTTTGAGCACAGTGCCTGAAATATTTGCCCTTTTCATGGTTTACTGAACAAAAGGCCACAGAGGGTCTGCTCCTAGTTAATTTTTTTCTTTTTAAAGTGAGTTCTTTTTTGTTCGAAAAAGACAACCTGTCATTTGTAGAGCGATTGAATGCACATGTAATGTCAGGACTGAAAGGAATCATCTTTTTTGAAGAATTGGTAATGCACAAAACAGTCTTACTGATCTCAGCATTGTTCATCTTAGTTTCAAGATTTTCTGGACAGTCATTTTCATTGTTCTCTTTCCAGCTTATGTTGTTCACATTGCACATTGGTGAGGACCATTTTTCACTAGAAAGAGGCATTTGTAGAGTTTTTGAGATGCTTGTGACCACTGAATTTTCAGTCAGAGAGCATCTATTTTGCACTTGAATTATTTGATCACTTTTACCTGAAATGTGCTCCTTTCTGTCAATTATCTCTGATATCTGAGGCTCAATGCTGACAAAATCTTGTAAACTTTCAGATAAAGGTGCGTCCTCTAAATCAAAACATATATTTTGACCAGAATGACTGTATAGTGACTTCTCACGTAAAGGTGCATCATATTCATCCCCGGTTTTAGCTCTTACAAGGCGTTCAGATGTGATTATTTCAGAATTATTTCCACAGGACAAAGTGCTCAGTGGATTTATAGTGTCACATGCAGTAGAGCTGTTGAAATGTGCTGATGATTCAAACATGTCACAGCTCGAGGGAAAAGATTCTCTGTGACTGTTCTGTGTTTCATTCTTCAGTTCATCCTGTATACAATTAACATGCTTTAACTGACTGGTGTTGCTTTGGCTAGTGCTTTTACATGTTCTTGTCTCTTCATTCTTTGGTGAAAGAATATTATGATTACAGTCTCTGGACTGCTGTAACAAGTCATTACTTAATTCTTCAGGGGGGAAGCATAACCCTGGTGACTGCCATGCGTTTGAGAGTGTGAATCCTTCACTACTGGTTTGAGAATCCAACTTTGCACATGATGGAGGAGTATAATCAAAACTGCTGAACTCATTTCTTTGTGAACTTTGTGAGTTTTTCTGTTGTGATGGACAGATACTGTTGGCAGAATGAGAATTTGCTCGCAGGAGGTTTTTTAAATAACCGATTACAGTACATCCCATCGAAGACTCACATGGAGAAATGATCTGGCAGGCCACTAACTGTCCAGACAGCGAATAAGTTTTGGCAACATTATGAGGAACCTGTTAGGAAGGAACAAGAAATGAGCAAAAAAAAAAGGGGGGGATAATCTTGATGCCCCACCTCAAATTAAATGAAGAAATGCTCCATACCTTCAATCCAAAAATGACACATCTTCCTATAAAGCAGTCTTCCACAGCTTTAAAAAGCAGTTGTTGAACAGTATGTGCACCTTCAGTTTTCTCCAAATCAATAAATCTGGAAACATCACACTTTAATATCAGCAAGGAATCAACAGAAATGTTTGTTCAAGATGTTTAAAATGTGTAAATGCTTTAAAACACACCTTTGAAGGCCACCAGCAGTAATGCCAAAGAAGGGATTTAAACAGCCCCCGAATACTGTCACACCAAATATATCTTGGTTTCTGGACACTTTAAATGACAGCCTATATCTGTAGTCCACGTTTTGTAAGTCACAAGTGAATCCACATCTTCCACATATAGCCCTAAAGATATAATTTAGAAGTTATTCATGATGTTCAGAAGCTTTTTAATTTAACACACACACACACACAAAAGTAATTATGTTATAGCATCAGTAATTACACATAATGATATTCACTAAATACATTTAAAGTACATTCAACATAATTCGTAATAGATAAAAAAAATTTTAGAAGTTATGATGTTCAGAAGCTTTTTAATTTAACACACACACACACACAAAAGTAATTATGTTATAGCATCAGTAATTACACATAATGATATTCACTAAATACATTTAAAGTACATTCAACATAATTCGTAATAGATAAAAAAACCAGAAACTACTACTATCATAGACTGTTTAAAAACTTGCATTGCATTTCAAAACATGAACGATTTTCTTCATTTTCTTCCTGCCACAGAGGGTCTGCTCCTAGTTAATTTTTTTCTTTTTAAAGTGAGTTCTTTTTTGTTCGAAAAAGACAACCTGTCATTTGTAGAGCGATTGAATGCACATGTAATGTCAGGACTGAAAGGAATCATCTTTTTTGAAGAATTGGTAATGCACAAAACAGTCTTACTGATCTCAGCATTGTTCATCTTAGTTTCAAGATTTTCTGGACAGTCATTTTCATTGTTCTCTTTCCAGCTTATGTTGTTCACATTGCACATTGGTGAGGACCATTTTTCACTAGAAAGAGGCATTTGTAGAGTTTTTGAGATGCTTGTGACCACTGAATTTTCAGTCAGAGAGCATCTATTTTGCACTTGAATTATTTGATCACTTTTACCTGAAATGTGCTCCTTTCTGTCAATTATCTCTGATATCTGAGGCTCAATGCTGACAAAATCTTGTAAACTTTCAGATAAAGGTGCGTCCTCTAAATCAAAACATATATTTTGACCAGAATGACTGTATAGTGACTTCTCACGTAAAGGTGCATCATATTCATCCCCGGTTTTAGCTCTTACAAGGCGTTCAGATGTGATTATTTCAGAATTATTTCCACAGGACAAAGTGCTCAGTGGATTTATAGTGTCACATGCAGTAGAGCTGTTGAAATGTGCTGATGATTCAAACATGTCACAGCTCGAGGGAAAAGATTCTCTGTGACTGTTCTGTGTTTCATTCTTCAGTTCATCCTGTATACAATTAACATGCTTTAACTGACTGGTGTTGCTTTGGCTAGTGCTTTTACATGTTCTTGTCTCTTCATTCTTTGGTGAAAGAATATTATGATTACAGTCTCTGGACTGCTGTAACAAGTCATTACTTAATTCTTCAGGGGGGAAGCATAACCCTGGTGACTGCCATGTGCTTGAGAGTGTGAATCCTTCACTACTGGTTTGAGAATCCAACTTTGCACATGATGGAGGAGTATAATCAAAACTGCTGAACTCATTTCTTTGTGAACTTTGTGAGTTTTTCTGTTGTGATGGACAGATACTGTTGGCAGAATGAGAATTTGCTCGCAGGAGGTTTTTTAAATAACCGATTACAGTACATCCCATCGAAGACTCACATGGAGAAATTATCTGGCAGGCCACTAACTGTCCAGACAGCGAATAAGTTTTGGCAACATTATGAGGAACCTGTTAGGAAGGAACAAGAAATGAGCAAAAAAAAAAAGGGGGGATAATCTTGATGCCCCACCTCAAATTAAATGAAGAAATGCTCCATACCTTCAATCCAAAAATGACACATCTTCCTATAAAGCAGTCTTCCACAGCTTTAAAAAGCAGTTGTTGAACAGTATGTGCACCTTCAGTTTTCTCCAAATCAATAAATCTGGAAACATCACACTTTAATATCAGCAAGGAATCAACAGAAATGTTTGTTCAAGATGTTTAAAATGTGTAAATGCTTTAAAACACACCTTTGAAGGCCACCAGCAGTAATGCCAAAGAAGGGATTTAAACAGCCCCCGAATACTGTCACACCAAATATATCTTGGTTTCTGGACACTTTAAATGACAGCCTATATCTGTAGTCCACGTTTTGTAAGTCACAAGTGAATCCACATCTTCCACATATAGCCCTAAAGATATAATTTAGAAGTTATTCATGATGTTCAGAAGCTTTTTAATTTAACACACACACACACACAAAAGTAATTATGTTATAGCTAGCATCAGTACACATAATGATATTCACTAAATACATTTAAAGTACATTCGACATAATTCGTAATAGATAAAAAAAATAATAATAATTTGATTGAATTTTACCACGTACCTTTTGCTTTCCTGAATTAATCTGGATAGACAGCCTTTGCAGCATGGATATACAAAACAGGAGTCTTGCAGAGAAAGTATTGTGCAACTCACCAGAGCCCGTGTGTTGCTCATGAGTGCTTAAAATACTGACAAGGTTTACAAACAACCATACTACCATTATTCTCTACAAGGAAATACTAACAAAACAGAGGACTCAGATTTTAAATTACTTTAAAAAATTTAATTGAAATTTATATTATTAAAGACATACAGCAATAAAGAAACTGATCTAAAAAAAAAAAAAAAGGACCAGAAACTAAAAAGTGAGCTACTATCATAGACTGTTTAAAAACTTGCATTGCATTTCAAAACATGAACGATTTTCTTCCTCGTTGGTTTTCTCCCTTAATTCTCAGGGAACACAGCTCCATCTACCGTACAATATTATAAATTATGCTCTAGTGTAAAGATAAATTGCGATCAATATACAATATAAAACCTTATAATTGTATTATTTCAGGTTTAAATGAGTTAAAGAAATTCATCGAAGGTCCTTTGTGATCACGTTGATGTATTATGTCTTCTTCTTCTTCTTCTTCTGATGTTTATTGGCGGTTTTGGCAAACCAACTTGAAGGTGCATTACCGCCACCCACTGATCTGGAGTGTGGAGTGAACAGATTTGGTAGAGAGAAGGATATTATATTAAAAAAATAAATTTAAAAAAAAAAAAAAAAAAAAATTTTTTTTTTAAATTCAGAAAAATTATAAATAAACCTACACTATTACAATTTATATTCTTTCCATATTTCCTGTCTTTTTTAGATAATTGAACACTTCTTTAATTCTTGATTGCATTCGTCTAATGTATTATGTCTTTACCCTACGCTTTGTTTATACTGCAGATGTCAGTGTTGCCTTTTTTACAGTCTATGGCTGCGAGATAGATGAGAACGGATCGTTCACAGATTCGTTCAAAAATCTGATTCACTACATTATTAAAACAAGAACGTAATTTAAATATTATCACCACTGTTTAAGTAAAAAAATACATGTCAATTGGCTGTTTTTAAAATATATATATAATTTTGATTTTTTTCAGCTAACGGGATACAATATTGTGTACTATCTTTACAGTCAGTGGAGGAACCGCGACACTAGACGTGTTTTCCCGGGACGATTCTGTGTGCGAACAACGCGGGCTCGTTGATTTAGTTGTTTTTTGTTTTGTTTTAACCTTGTTTTGATTTCTTAGAAGTGTCATTAAATATGATTTTACACAAACAAATTTTGTAATGCCGACAGGACCAATGAAATATCACTTATTCAAAGACTTCGCGATGACTTCAAATAAATAGGTTTATTCCACTGATATGTAATAGAAATTGTCAGCTCAACTGGCTGGACTGACAAGATAAATAATTAACAACAAATAACAGTAATTTCTTTTAATTCACTAATATGAGATTGTTTATGTGGAGCGACGGGAGGTAGCACAATAGCTATATATATATATATATATATATATATATATTACTATTTATATTTTTACTCAACCAAAGCACTGTATGTAAAAACATTACTAGTAGTCATTTGATTTCTATATGTGATGACTACTTCAACGACAAGAAAGACTTATTTGGGACAGCATTGGATTGTAAAGACAAAGGGGTAAGATATGTTGGAAATCTGAAACTGTGTTGAGCTTCTATTGATTGTGTACGTTTCCATGGTTTTGTTTACAAACTTGGTTGATGTGGAGCTTTTAATGGTTCACTTTTTTAAATTATAACGCCTACCAGAACTTTACACAATATATTATATGTACACAAATAAGTAAGCGAGACTTTAAATGAGTTCCCACTGAAAACAATAGAGTTGAAATCACAGAGCTTTTTAATGTTGAGGCTATAATTAATATATTTTTCTCAGGGTGTTTTAACAGCCTATTTTTGCAGTTTGTTTTATGTCAGATGTGAAATGTAAGTATTGTTGACATTGACTGGTCATTTTTCATTTGTGTAGCTTAGTTCTTGCAGATGAGAAACCACATAGACAATCAAGTCACCGGCATCAAGCATCCTCTTCTGCAACAGATATATCTGAGAGCAGAAGATGTAATGAGCCAAAAGTATGTTTTTTAAATTTAGTTTATATAATATTATGCCACTGATAAGCTTTGTTACACTAAGTGCAAAATTCACATTTTCTATTTAAAGCAAAACCAGAATAAGCAATGGATACCAGGAGACTCCACTCTGGCTATGGATGTGGAAATTTTACAAGCTATTGATGAACTGGGTCCAAAAGTCTTAAAATTCAAAATAGATGAAAACATTTAATAAACTGAATCGGCATCACTTCAGAAAACTCTGACTTTCCACAAAATATTCATGAACAACAAGTGCAAAATGCAGAAGTCCAGGCTCAGCATGGTCACCATCAGAGCGCAAAAGAACCAGAACACAAACCAAAAAAAGAGAACGACTGGACGGATTTGGCCCAAAAGCTTTTGTTCAGTGAAACCAAAAAGACTGAAGCAGGAGGACGGGCCCCTGACTGTGAGATGAAATGTGACAGGGAATATTCTTCACCTCAAAAGATCCTCAACTCCATGAAAAAAACACCTAAAGTAGCAAACAGCAAGCAAATGTTACAGTTCAGAAGAGATACCAGCCCAAATGACTCTCTCAGTACCGCCAAGGATTACATTCTGTTCAGTCCAACACATTTGGCTGCTGCTAAAGAGCGATCCATGTTGCAGCAGCAGAAGATATCAGTGAAAAACCTTTCAGTCTCTGTGCTGACCCCTCCTCCTGGACTGGATCTCAGTGTCCTCCGAGATGCTACACTACCAGATGCAGGTAGATTTCCAACTTTTACATTTAAAGAAGTCAGAACTTGATTAAAGAACTCAAAGAATTGTCTAATTTCATCATTCATGTTATATTTATTCAGCTATTATTCCCATCGTTAATGTTATATGATCCTTTAAATCCTTTAGATCCTTTAATAAGAAACATTTCTTATTATTATCAATGTTAAAAACGATTGTGTTGCATGATAATTTAGTGGACACTGTGATACTTTTTTCAGGATTCTTTGAGAATAGAATGTTCTAAAGAACAGCATTTATTTAAAACAAATCTTTTGTAATATCAATGTCTTTACTGTCAATTTTGATCAGTTAAATTTCGTTAAAATAACTTTCTGACTACAAACTTTTGAAATTTGTTTGGCATTTTTCTATTCAAAACAACAATAAGAAATGCTAGTATTTGAAATATTAATTCAGTTTTTGCTGTTTGTTACACCGAACAGCACAAATCATCCATATGGGACGTCCTGGCGATCAGTCAGACAAGACTTTTGCTCTCCAGTTGGGGTCTCCCTAAGCCTGTTCTGGAGAAATACCAGCGTCTAGGTGTTAGGAGGATGTTTGAGTGTCTGACCTTGGGCAAAGTTTTGGAGGGCCAGAACCTAGTATATTCTGGTAAATAGCTGTTTTTCTTCTTCTTGTTGACTGCAAATGTTTTGTTTGTACTTGGTCCTGTTTCCCTGAGAAACAGCACCAGATCAAATACTAAATATATAAATTATAACTACGTCTGATTACATGATACTTTTCTAAATGTATGTAGTTATCTCATTTTTTCCCAGGCTAAAATTTTATATATATTTTTTTTAAGCTCCAACCAGTGGAGGAAAAACTTTGGTTTCAGAGTTGTTAATCTTGAAGAGAGTTTTGGAAACAAGACAAAAGGCCATGTTCATTCTTCCTTTTGTGTCTGTGGCACGAGAGAAAATTTTTTATCTGCAGATTGGTTCCCATTTCCTGAGTGAATATGTAATTGTCAGTTATCTCAGTTGGCCCACTGATCATTTATTTTGTTTTGTTTTTTAACTGTGAGAGCATGGTGCAGTGTCTACATATATAATTGTTGATTTCTGAATTTAGTAAATCTGTGAATATACATCTTGGAATTTTGTTGACGAGATTGTGCTAATTTTATACTTGCTATTTTCACCCAGAATGTATTTCAGTAGGCAGGGGTCAGAGTGGAGGGGTATATGGGTAACACTTCAGCAGCTGGTGGGTTTTCAGCTCTGGATGTCGCTTTTGCACAATATAGAGAAAGCTAATAGACTCATCAACAGGCTCATTGAAGAAGACAAATTGGATCTACTTGGTAAAATAATGACATTTCCTTAACACTTAAGTTACTTACTCTTACAGGTACTCTTGTTAAACTCCATTTTCACACAATTTGCAGGAATTGTTGTGGTCGATGAGCTGCACATGCTTGGGGACTCTGTTCCCCCCCAAAAAAAATTGTTAAAGGGGTCATATGATGAGTCCAGCCCAGGGTCGTCACACGTGGTTGCCACCGCTTGAGGTATCCGGCCAATCATTACGCACTGGATAGCTGGCCAATCAGAGCACACCTCGCTTTTCAGACCGATGAGCTTTGTAAAAATCGACGCATTTCAGAAAGGCGGGGCATAGAGGAGAAACAATAATGTACAGTATGTGGAAAATAATGTGTTTTTTGAACCTTAAACCGCATAAACACATTTCATTACACCAAATACACAAAATAATGTTCTTTTTAGCAACATCATATGACCCCTTTAAAAAGTGACAGTTAAAAAGACAATTTAAGACTTTTAAATTGTTACAAAAAATGTATTTAAAATCATCAAATAATCCTTAAAAAATTTATTTATTTTTGCGGTTTCCACAAAAATATCAAGAAGCACAATCTTCCTTCAAAAACTTTAAAATTATTACAGTTAATATGTAATGATGTGTGTTGACTTAGGTGAGTGTGTTGGTCTGTAAAGAGGCTGAACGTGCGAAGGGGATGAGCCTCATCCAGGGCTTGCTCAAGCCTATCAGCAGCTGCCTGGTGAAGCGGGAGGGTGAGGGCGTTACTACCAGCATGCTCAGGGCCATCCTGGAGGTGTGAATGTCTTTCTCCTTATAGTATGTTGTATGATACTGTATTGGGTATGTACAGGATTTAATTTCATTATTTTGACTGAAGATCATCGTTGGAGGAGTTGCCAGCTCACCACAGGATGTGAGGATGTATGCTTCTTGCACTCTTCTGGCAGCCAGTACTGCAGCCGAACAGCCACGTGT